GTGGTGAAAACTGTTGAAAAATATTTATTCAAATTATTGCTCATTTCTCCGTCGTTATCAGTGAGCTCGCCGGTATCTGACCGTATTGGTCCAATCTTTTCTCGTGTTTTAGTTTGATACATTTGGTAGAATCCTTTGGGGTTTGTCTTTGTCTCCCTTGCTATCCTTACCTCATTATTCCTCTTGGCTTTCCTTATCTCGGTTTTAACCCTACTTGCCAATACCTTATAATAATCCCGGAGGTAAATTTCGCCACAATTTATCCTTCTACTTATAGCCTTCCTTTGGCCAATGATGTTCTTTAAATAATTATTTATCCATTTAGGGTCATTGTTGTCTTATCTGATTTTTTTGTATGGTATGTTCTGCCTTTGTGCATTAAGTAACTCATTATTTAAATTGTAGTGGAACTCGGCAATCTCAGATCTCGTTATCAGGTAGGAGTCATCTGTCAGGTTCACGGCCAAGCCCAACACCCCCCCTCTCAGCTGCCTCTTTAAACTGTCAAAGTTTGCCCTTCTGAAATCTGGTACTTTAGTGGAATTTTCCTTATGTCTGCCCTGTAAATCTAACTGGAATCTAATTTCTTTGTGATCTCTGTTTGCAAGTTCGTTCCCTACCTCGACATTGCTAATGAGGTTTTCTCTGTTCGACAGAACTAAATTGAGTATTTTATTACCCTGTGTGGGTTCTGTTATATGTTGACTTAGGAAACAGTCCTGGATATTCTCGAGAAAATCCTCTGATTCTCCGTTACCCGTAAGGTGAGTCCAATCTATTTGGCCAAGGTTAAAGTCGCCTACTATACAGACTTTGTTGTGTATGGAAGCCCTGCGCATTTCATCCCAGATAAGTCGCTCATTGACTCTATCAAGATTGGGAGGTCTATATATTACTCCTGTGATTAATTTTTCCCTATCGTCGATTAATTCTATCCAAATTGTTTCTGTATTCCGATCAGTTTTTATTTCCTTATTTATTTCACACTTCAGAGTATCCCTATCGGTATGGAACAATTTGTAACCCGCAATTTGGTATTCGACCGGCAACTCACATGAGTCTAGGTTGATCCATGTTTCAGTGAATGCTATTATATCGATTTTTTTCGATACATACTAAGGTCCTAATATCATCCATTTTGTTTCTCATACTTCTACTGTTCGCGTAGTAGACATTTAAGTTAGTCGTGTTCTGAGTCCTCCCTTTACCGCGTTTAGTTTTAAACTCCCTGTTTAATTTAGTTTTGTCATCATTCCTTACACTATTTCCCTGTAATCTTTTACTTTGTTTACCCGCTCCCACTGCAGTTTCCTGGCGTTATGAGGGGCATCGCGTTGAGTACTAGTTCCCTCAGAGGTTGTGTTATGAGGGGCTTAACGTGGTGTAGTAATTCCCTCACAGATGGTGTTATGAGGGGCCTGATGTGGTGTAGTAATTCCCTCACAGATGATGTTATGAGGGGCCTGATGTGGTGTAGTAATTCCCTCACAGATGGTGTTATGAGGGGCCTGATGTGGTTTAGTAATTCCCTCACAGATGGTGTTATAAGGGGCATCACATGGCGTAGTAATTCCCTCACGGATGGTGTTTTATGAGGGACATCACGTGGTGTAGTAATTCCCTCGCAGGTGTTATGAGGAACTTCACATGATGCTGTAGCAACTCATTCACTATGCGGTGTCGTACATAATGGAGACACCACGTGGTCCGTTGTCACAGGAATCCACTCACTCAAGTGGGTGAGGTGTGGTCCCAGGCCTTTCTATCGTAGAGTCTCTGGGGAATTATCACTGGGTACCTGGGACCTCACTGTGTGAAGGTTAGCTTGGCTAAGACTCAACTGCCGAGTTGTTTTTCACTGACTTAAGCACTGTTCACCACTATTCAACACTGGTTTCATTCTTTTCCCAAATGAAATAGTAACTTCTGGCTAGAACTAGAAATGGCTAGAAATAAGCGAAATAAGCAAAGCATTGAACAGCTACTTCTTATCAGTTTTCACAGAAAATATTTGGGTTGAAATTCCAGAGGTGGAACTGATATTTAAGGGAAAGGAAAAAGAGAAATTAAAGAATATCACTATCAGAAAAGAGGATGTTCTTAAGAAGATAAATAAACTAAAGAAAATAAAATCCCCAGGGCCGGATGAAATTTTCCCTCGAGTCTTGAAAGAGTGTAAGGAACAGGTTAGCGGACCCCTCGTAAACTAATTTACAAAATCATTAGACACCGGAGTTGTGCCAGACTTGTGGAAACAGGCAAATGTAGTACCCATATTCAAAAAGGGAGACAGAGCATCAGCGTCAAATTACCGGCGATCAGTTTGACGTCAGTAGTGGGGAAATTTCTTGAATCAATTATAGCAGATAGCATCCGATCGCATCTAGAGAAAAGCAAATTAATCTTCGATTCTCAACATGGGTTTACAAAGGGAAAATCTTGTCTAACAAATCTGCTGACGCTTTTTAGGAAAGTCTTCGAGGTAGTAGATAATGACGAAAATTACGATGTTATTTACTTAGACTTTAGCAAAGCATTTGACAGAGTACCGCATCAGAGGCTTCTGAGAAAAATTAAGGCTCATGGTATCGAGGGGAAAGTTTTAAATTGGATAAAATCATGGCTCACCGATAGAACGCAGAGGGTCAGCGTAGATGGTGTTAAATCTGAGTGGGGCCGTGTAACCAGTGGGGTTCCCCAGGGGTCAGTACTAGGCCCACTCTTGTTCATAATCTACATAAACGATCTAGATCAGGGGTTCTCAACCAGGGGGGAATTCCCCCCAGGGGGTGGGGGGAATTCAGGTTTTCAGGGGGGGAAACTGATTCGGGAGCAAGAGATATGTTCGATGAGAAATCAATCACAGAATTTTGGCCCTTGATGTGCGATTCCTATCCAAAAGTGGCAGAAAGAGCTATCCGTGCATTGCTTCCGTTTGTGTCGACATATCTTTGTGAGTCAGGCCTTTCAACTCTGATGCAAATTAAAACGAAGCAACGTAGTAGATTAGAGGTAGAAAATGACCTGCGTTGTGCCCTTTCAAGCACTCCTCCGCGTATCCCAGAATTGGCGAAGAAAAAACAATCACAGGTTTCTCATTGACTGTAATCTTCATCTGAATAAAATTAATTACAAATTTATAATATCCTGGTATTCTATTGAACTTTTTGTTTATTGCATTATGCTTCAGTTTGGTCTGTTAAGTAATTCATTATAAATATATAAAAAACTATTTTACTTTTATTCAAGTTTTATATATCCATCAACATTTTCAATTGGCATTTAATTTGTAAAACTCCACTATAAAAATAATCCATGTAAAATTGTAAATGTATATGTACTAATATGGAGAAAATAAAGGATTTTCAGTATTATATGCATATTATTTGGAATGCACTTTTTGAGGCAGACAATCTTGGAAAGGAGGGGGGAATGACATTCTGACATATGGTGAAAGGGGTGCATGGGGCAAACAAGGTTGAGAACCACTGATCTAGATACTGGGATCAGCGGTGACATAAGCAAGTTTGCGGATGACACCAAAATAGGGCGGCAGATTAATTCAGGGCAGGATGCAAATGCATTACAGGAGGATCTAAATAAACTGCAGGGGTGGTCTGAAAAATGGCAAATGAAATTCAACACCAGCAAGTGCAGCGTACTTAATATTGGACGAACAAATACTGATAATGTATACAGCCTTAACAACATCAACCTAGAGAAGTCGACTTTTGAAAGAGACCTAGGGGTACTTGTAAGCTCGGACCTACGGCATAAAAAACAGTGCGTTAATGTTCGAAATAAGGCAAACAGAGTATTGGGTTTTATATCTAGAAGTGTAAGTAACAAGAGTGCAGAGGTCTTATTGCAACTATATCTTGCGCTAGTCAGGCCGCACCTCGATTATTCGGTTCAGTTCTGGTGCCCCTATTATAGAATGGATATAAATTCACTAGAGTCGGTGCAGCGAAGAATGACAAAAATGATTCCGGGACTTAGAAACCTTCAATATCAGGATAGGTTAAAGAAACTTAACTTGCATTCCCTAGAAAGACGAAGAGTGCGGGGAGATATGATAGAAGTATTTAAGTGGGTGAAAGGAATCAATAAAGGGGATATAGATAAAGTTCTTATAATGTCCGAGCAGGATAGGACTCGGAGCAACGGATTCAAGTTGGATAAGTTTAGGTTTAGGAGGGAGATAGGAAGAAACTGGTTCACAAATAGGGTGGTGGACGAGTGAAACAAGCTTAGCAACTTTGTAGTAAGTGCGGGAACTCTGGAAAGTTTCAAAAGGAGGCTAGATAGATTCATGGATGATAGAGAGTGGTAGTAACTCTCGACAGAAGCTGCCATGCACAGGCCAACCGGCCTATTGCAGACTCCTTATTTTCTTATGTTCTTATGTAGAACTTGTTGGTATTCCGGTGGGGAGGAGGGTTCAGGTGAGGGAGTTGGTATGGGCCAACATGACAGTTGACGTGGCTGCTGCTGAGCAGCGCCAGGTGCGTCTGACCCGTCTTGACCCGTCGGTGGTCAAGGATGAAGCATCCCTTGATGACTGTTAGAGCATCCCTTGATGACTGTTTGAGCACCCCTTGATGACTGTTAGAGCACCCCTTGGTGACTGTTAGAGCAGCTTCTTCATGTCTCTGTTACCCCAGCCCCTTAATGACTGTTAGAGCAATCCCTTCATAACTCTGTTAGAGAAATCCCTTCATAATTCTGTTAGAGCAGCCCCCTCATTACTCTGTTAGTGCATCAGATTTATGACTGTTGAAGCAGCCACTTCATGAATATTAGAGAAGCCACTTTATGACTGTTAGAACAATCCCTTCAAAACTCTGTTAGAGTTGCCCCTTCATGACTGTCAGATCAGCCCTTCATATCGCTGTTATAGCAGCCCCCTCATTACTTTGTTAATATTCCAGTGATGATACATATACCTAACCTGGTGCTCCCTGCACTGGTTCTCTAAGAATAAACTTTATGGGGGGCAGATGATGAAGGTGATGGCTCAGGTGCCCAAGGTGGAAGAGGGAGTGTTTGAGTTCTACATCTGCCCTGAAACCGACCCACAGGACGAGGACTGCCTATTCAAGTAAGTTGTCCGTCCCACTTAGAATATTCATAGACTCGTATTCTCAGTTTGTTAAGTCTAAACTGTAGGCAGCAGTATAGTGTGTAATAGGACTCAGATCCAGGCTGCTGATAGACTCAAATGATATATGGTAATTAAATAAGCTGTGCAGTTCATATAATAAAGTTCCCATGATTTTCGCTTTCCTATTGATTCAAGTTACCCACCAATAAAAACTTCACTGTATAAAACTTGATCATACTAGTGAAACTCAACTGTTCACTAACTCAAACAACATTGTTTCAAGCATCTATCTACTTAAGTTATCCTTAAGTTTATGCTGCAACAGGATGGTCGGCTGCTCGTTCCTGGTGTTTGTGAAATTAAACTTGATGTATACTAACACAACATGTTTACAACTTCTCCTGCAAAAAAGCCAATAGTAAATTGACAATTTCAAGCCGTTAAAAGTTTCAGTATAAGTAAACTCTTAATATAGTTAAGTTAGATACACAGCCATAGCCGTACAAATATGCGTACGTGTTGAAGAGTAAAAAGATGTCGTGCAGGTGGCCACTGGAGTTGGCTGGTGGTGGTCGTCGTCACTTTCAGATGAATTCAGTGACACAAGGCGGACTGTACGAGATACATGTGATGCTTCCCGAGGGTCTCACCTGTGACACCTGCATCCTCTTGGTCAGTGCTCCTCTCTCTCTCTCTCTCTCTCTCTCTCTCTCTCTCTACGCAAATACTGATAATATCATTATTACGAAGATTAATACCAATGCGATCCTTACGCCATTGTTAATATTGTTATTATCAATGAATTATTACACAATATAAATTATTATTGTTTATATTACTTTATTAGTAAATTAATAATTATTTTTGTGATCATTATGGTTATGTAACTAGCATTATTGTGGATAAATTACCATTAATATTTTTACGATATATCAATTGCAATTATTATCATCATAGTCCAAATGATAGGTCCCTTATTTTGATTACTAAAGCACAAATTAAGATTATCTTCAGTACTAAACGAGGTGTATGTTGACCTTGTTGATGTTATACTCACACAGTGGACGATGATCACCAAGCAGTGTGAGGGTGACAACCTTTCCTCATGTTCCACCCAAAGCTCCACCCTCTGTGCCGACATATCCATCATCGAGAAGAAGTAAGACTAAATATCTGACGTACTTTTACTCTTTATTGTGAAGTTAACAAATAAATGTAAATCATTTTAAAGGAATCTTGATCAATATACATTTAAATTTTAATTTAAATTAATTTAATACAACCTTCTCTTACGAAATTACCAAGCAGAGATATATAGAGAAGCTAAATAACGGATATTTACAGGCTAGAAATAGGGTTAACAGTCAACTAGAACACACTAGTAATAAAGGGTGTTTGTTACAGACCAAGGCTGAAGAGAGGTTGGAACTTCTTGAAGAGCACATTGGGCAGAGTATTGAAAGGGGCAGCTCGTGCCTCAAAATGCTAAAACAATCCCCGTAATGCCGAGCTTCGCCTTTACTAGTTGGCCGTCTTACTTATGAGACACTTGTGGACATATGATGAGCAGGAAATGTAGATTGTGTTGGATGTGTAGTTCTAGATTCAGATAAAATAAAACTGTGGTTCCATAAAGAGGATATACTCGTACTATTATATATTAGGCATATGCAAAAAAGTATCTGCAAGACAATATGGCACAACGGACGAAGAAGTTGTAGTGCTCATTTTAACATCCATTGGACCTCACCTAGCAGATACTTTCTGTATTGAGCGTACTTGATTATTGTTATCAATGCATAAAAACTTAAAAAGTGTTTTTTCTATTGCCTGGAGAAATCCCTTGGCTAAACGGGGCTACCAAAATCAGTATATACTTAAGGTTAGGATTTACTTATAATAAATAAACTCACGTTCTGTTTACATTGGTTCGCCTGCTCCAGGGAGTGAGAAATGAACCATACAAGTTAAAGTGAAATGTTATATAGTTATGGTGCACACAGTAACAACTTGTCAAATGTTATATAGTTAGGGTGCACACAGTAACAACTTGTCAAATGTTATATAGTTATAGTGCACACAGTAGCAACTTGAAATAAATAAGGAAATATATAAGGAAATAAAAACTGAGCAGACTACAGAAACAATTTGGATAGAATTAATCGACGGTAGGGAAAAATTAATCACAGGAGTAATATATAGACCTCCCAATCTTGATAGAGTCAATGAGAGACTTATCTGGGATGAAATGCGCAGGGCTTCCATACACAACAAAGTCTGTATAGTAGGCGACTTTAACCTTGGCCAAATTGATTTAACTGACCTTACGGGTAACTCAGAATCAGAGGATTTTCTCGAAACGATCCAGGACTGTTCCCTAATTCAACATATAATCGAACCCACCCGGGGTAATAATATACTCGATTTAGTTCTGTCGAACAGAGAAAACCTCATAAGCAATGTCGAGGTAGGGAACAGACTTGCAAACAGAGATCACAAAGAAATTAGATTCCAGTTAGATTTTCAGGGAAGACGTAAGAAAAATTCCACTAAAGTATCAGATTTCAGAAGGGCAAACTTTGACAGTTTAAAGAGGCAGCTGAGAGAGGGGGTGTCGCGCTTGGGCATGAATCTGAGAGATGACTCTGACCTGATAACGAGATCTGAGATTGACGAGTTCACTACAATTTAAATAATGAGTTACTTAATGAACAAGGGCAGAACATACCATACAAAAAAATCAGATCAGACAACAATGACCCTAAATGGATAAATAATTATTTAAAGAACATCATTGGCCAAAGGAAGGCTATAGGTAGAAGGATAAATTGTGGCGAAATTTACCTCCGGGATTATTATAAGGTATTGGCAAGTAGGGTTAAAACCGAGATAAGGAAAGCCAAGAGGAATAATGAGGAAAGGATAGCAAGGGAGGTGAAGACAAACCCCAAATGATTCTATCAAATGTATCAAACTAAAGCACGAGAAAAGATTGGAGGTCAGATACCGGCGAGCTCACTGATAACGACGGAGAAATGAGCAATAATTTGAATAAATATTTTTCAACAGTTTTCACCACGTAAAATTTAAACATGATACCCGAGGCACCGACTCTATTCAGAGATAGTGAAGAAAACAAATTAAGCGAGATAGTAGTGACTAGTAACGATGTTAGTAAGCAAATAGACAAACTAAAGCCTAATAAGTCACCTGGTCCCGATGAGATATTTGCCAGAGTATTAAAGGAATGTAAGGAAGAGCTTAGTATGCCCTTAGCAAAGTTGTTTAACTTGTCCTTAAAAACAGGTGTAGTACCAGAATCCTGGAGGATAGCGAATGTAATACCGATTTTCAAGAAGGGGGATAGATCACTATCCTCTAACTACCGCCAAATCAGTTTAACATCTATAGTAGGCAAATTACTGGAAGCAATCATTTCAAACTCTATTCGAAATCACCTGGAGAAGCACGGATTGATCAATGATTCCCAGCATGGCTTCGCAAGCAGACGTTCATGTCTAACTAATCTATTAACATTCTTTTCATCAGTTTTCGAATCAGTGGACGAGGGGCACAATTATGATGTGGTATATCTCGACTTTAGCAAAGCCTTCGACAGAGTTCCCCACGAAAGACTAATTTGAAAGGTAGAAGTACATGGCTTTAGGGCGTGGTTACAGGACAGGAAACAGCGAGTGAGCATTAACGGCACAAAGTCCCATTGGAGCAACGTCACTAGTGGAGTTCCCCAAGGCTCAGAACTTGGACCATTACTATTTATTATATACATAAACGACATAGATATCGGCATAGACAACAACATAAGTAAATTTGCTGATGGCACTAAAATAGGACGTGTTATTAAATCTGACGAGGACTCAGCAAAACTACAAGAAGATCTAAACAAAATTTTCGAATGGTCTGAAAAATGGCAGATGAAATTCAACATGGACAAATGTAAAGTACTAAAGTATAGGAGATGCAAACAGGGAAACCAGATATCAGATAAACAACGATGCCGTAGAGAAATCCGACTGCGAGAGAGATTTAGGAGTAATGATAAGTAGGAACCTTAAGCCAAGTAAACAATGTGTTTTTGTTCGTAACAAGGCTAATAAAGTACTTGGGTTCATACAAAGGAGTGTTAGTTACAAGTCTAGCGAGGTCATCCTAAAACTGTATCTTACGCTTGTGAGACCACACCTGGATTATGCAGTTCAGTTCTGGTCACCGTATTACAGAATGGATATCGAATACTTGGAGAGAATTCAGAGGAGAATGGCAAGACTAATCCCTGGCATTAGGAACCTTGAGTATAGAGACAGGTTAAATCATCTTTATTTGCACTCCCTCGAAAGACGTAGAGCGAGGGGCGACCTGATAGAGGTGAAAAAGTGGAAATCAGGGCTAAACAAAGGGGACATTACAAAGGTACTCAAACTATCCAACCAGGAGCAAACTCGTAATAATGGATTTAAATTAGACAAATTTAGATTTAGGCGAGAAATAGGTAAACACTGGTTTGGAAACAGAGTAGTGGATGAATGGAACAAGTTACCAAATATTATCATTAACTCTAATACGCTGAATAGCTTCAAACATAGGTCGGATGCTTATATGAGCAATAGAGGTTGGGTGTAAACGGGACTGCCCAGTATGGGCCAATAGGCCCGCTGCAGTTTCCTCCATTCTTATGTTCTTATGTTTATGAAATGTTATATAGTTATGGTGCACACATTAACAACTTGTCAAATGTTATATAGTTATGGTGCACACAGTAACAACTTGTGGAATGTTATTTAGTTATGGTGGCTTATTAGCCCATAATAGGAAGCCACCTTAACATCATATTTTCATATTACTGTATCCGTCCAGCTCTATTTGAAGCTATCCAGCGTGTTCGAGATAATTATGATGTTTGGTAGCTTGTTCCACTCATCCACTACTACATTTCCAAACCGGCATTTACCTATTTCGCTTCTAAATCTAAATTTGTCTAATTTAAAACCATTGTTACGAGTTCACTCTTGATTGGATAGTTTGAGTACCTTTGTTATATCGGCTTTGTTTAGCCCTGACATCCATTTATACACCTCGATCATATCGCCCCTCACTCTACGTCTCTCGAGGGAGTGCAAATTCAGATGTTTTAATCTGTCTCTGTACTCAAGGTTGCTAATGCCCGGGATTAGTCTTGTCATCTTCCTCTGAATGCTTTCTATGGATTCGATATCCATTCTATACTAGGGTGACAAAAACTGAACTGCATAATCAAAAGTGAGGTCTCAAAAGCGCAGGATATAGTTTTAGGATAACCTTGCCAGTCCTGTAACTAATAATCCTTTGTAAGAACCCAAGTACTTTGTTAGCTTTGCTTCGAGTAAATACGCATTGTTATCTTGGTTTAACATTCTTGCTTTTCATTATTGCTAAATCTTTTTCACAGTCGGATTTCTTTATATCAACGTTGTTCATCTGATCTGTGATTTCACTGTTTAAATTTTCTAGGCTAAGTACTTTACATTTGTCCGTATTAAATTTCATCTGCCATTTTTCAGATCGTGCGAAATTTTTTTTTAGATCTTCCTGCAGTTTTGCGGAGTCCTCGTCGGATTTGATTACACGCCTATTTTAATGTAGCCAGAAAATTTACTTATGTTGCTGTCTACGCCTATATCTATGTTGTTTAGGTATATGCTAAATAGTAATGGTCCAATTACTGAGCCTTGGGGCACTCCACTACAGTTGTGACATTACCCCTATCAGATTTGGTGCCATTTATGCTGACTCCAATACCATGAGCCTCCACTTTACGTATGAGTCTTTCATGGGGGACTCTGTCGAAGGTTTTGCTAAGGTCGAGGTAAACCACATCACAATCTTATCCGTAATCCACTGATTAGAAAACAGTTGAAAAGAATGATAATAGAATTGTCAGACATGAATGCCCGCTTGTGAAGCCATACTGTAATCATTGATCAATTTGTGTTTCTGGAGATGATTTCGAACTGAATTTGAAATTATTGCTTACAGTAATACAATTGATGTTAAACTAACTGAACGGGCGTCTGAGGATAGTTAACTATCTCCCTTCTTGAAAATCGGTATCATATTCGCTATCCTCCAGGATTCTATTACTGCACCTTTTTTAATGACATGTTAAATAAGTTTGCTAAGAGCATACATTTATTCTAACTGATATAAAATATATCTTCAAAACAAAAATACGTTTGATGCTCTGGGATGTGAGCGTGTTGTAGATAAACAAATCCTGTTTATCTCATTGTTGAAATATTGAAATAACACAAGTGATAGATGCATCCGGGGTTTGACCTCCTCATATCAATACTGTGACCGCCCCTTGAGCCTGGATACACAACACAGTATCAACTTAAATGATAAACATATCGTCTCTGACCGGATGTTTGCCACATTGCTCAATCTTTATACCAATCTTGTGTCTCGATTATAAGTGCTTGGGATAACTTGTCTTAGTGGAACAGATAATGGGTAAAATCGTTACACACTGGAAGAAAGCACCAAGACTGGTCTGCCTGTATGTGTGTGTCTGTGTATCTGTTTGTCCGCACATCACTCCCCTCCGAGAGATACGATTTCTACATATTTGGTGTCGTTGGAATCGTCTTGACACACAGATGGTTAGTAAATGGGTTTCATTTCAGATTTTTGAATTTTGGTTTCTTGCGGTTTTTCTCTCATCTTCAAGAATCTGCGGTTAATGGCGTTCCCTAGAACATCACGAGCGGTTAATGGCGTTTCCTACAACATCAGTAGCGGTTAATAGCGTCTCCTAGTA